AAAGGACCAAGCAAAACTAATCTAAGATCTCTCGGATGAACCAAGACAAAATTCTTGTAGCAATATTAATGCTTCGTTTGTACAAAAAATGCATGCAAATTGCACACATACTTCTCACTCGCTTTGTTTCATAAAAAGTGTTATTCGATCCATTTTCACAAATATTAAGAAAAATAAAGAAATTTCTCTTTTGTCCTTCACTAATACACTAAAAATATTTCTTTTTCTAATTAATAAATCAAAATAGTAGGGTTAATATTAGATTTGGTTTAAAATTTTGTTTTGGAAATACAAAGTGACACTTTTTGTGACGGAGAGAGTATATATATAATAAAGTAATGTCTACATTAAAAGGTTATGTTTTACTTAAAGAAAAATTGATTGAAAGATAGATGACGCTCTCTCTCGGAAAAATGGGTAAAAAAATCCTCACCTTTCTTAAAAACATATAAAAAACCCTCAACTTTTTTTTGTGGGTTTTTAAATCCCCACCTTTTCATAATGGTAATATAAACCCTATTATTAAAACACTCAACTTAAATTCAAAGAAATCGTTATATTAAAATACAAATAAATATAAAAAATTTGATTTAGGATTTTTTCTTATAAAATTCTAGTTTACAATCTTTTTCTAAATTAAATTTTTTTTTAAATCATGATGTAAAAAAGTTAATTAATGAACTTTTATTCGGTTGTATTACAAAAATTCATCAACGTGAAACTAAACAAATTTTGTTACGAGTGATATATACATTCTTATACCGAACTGAATATGAATTTATGTTAATAAATATTTATTAGGTTCGATCACACAAATTGCTAACATGAAACCAAAGCAAATTTTATAATACTACGAAAAGTACAAGAATTTCCACGTGAAAATATTTTCATCGGACAAAATAAACTAAATAAACATTTATTAGCAGTTAATAATTCTATGTAAATTATGATATATTTAAATTATAATTTAAATTAAATTTAGTTAATCATTATTTAACTAACCTCCAACTGAATCTGAATTTTGTTATAATTTTGAATATTTCTTAAATCAAAAGCTGAAAAACTCGAACAAACCAAAACAATCAAATGTGCTATCCTATAAATTTTTGTAGTTTACATAACATAAATTTTAATTGTAACAAAATTGATTTATCCAATCTCAACTATATGTGAATAAATTGCCTACCAAAAAAACTATATGTGAATGAATTTTTATATCGCAAAAACCTTAATTTTAGAAAAAAAAATAGCAAACTCGAATTTGAAAAGAATAAATCATAAATTAAATTGTTTTCGTTTATTGTTGTTTTAATATAACGATTTTTTAAAATTTAAGTTGAGTTTATTAATATTAGGGTTTATTTTACCACTTATGAAAAGGTGAGGGTTTAAAAACCCATAAAAAAAGTTGAGGGTTTTTAATATGTTTTTAGGAAAAGTGAGGGTTTTTCTACCCATTTTTCCCTCTCTCTCTTCAAAAAAACATGTAAAAGGTACTTGTTGAACCTCTATATTAAATAAATTCATGGCTAAAACATAGAATAAATTAAAATATATCAATCTATTAGAAGAAAAAAATATGATTCTGTAATGTGTTCTTGGTTGATATTTTTTATTGTGACACCAAAGGAAATAAAGGAAACTGAATAGAAGTCGAATCAAATCATGTTATGTTCGGTTTAATAACCCATAATAGGCACAAATCAATCATCTATATAACATTTTCGAAGTATATTTTGAGAACAATTCTTTGTTTTAATAAGTATTTACAAAGAATGTAATTGTATTAAAAAATAATTTAAGAAGCTCATTAAGAGTAATTTGGTAATATAAAAATACAAATATACAAGCATCCAAACAAACTTTTACAATATCTCTACTATCCATATAACCAAACACGATAAAAAAAATTTAGTTTTAATTATAAAATATGAAATATCCATATAATGTTCTTTATAGATATTTGGAAGATTTTGTTAAGATTTAAAAAATTATGATTCACCTATCATCTTTGTTTGATATTTTATTTACTTGCTTTGAATCATCATATAATACATAAAACAAATAAATCTTTAGATTATTTTTCTGCATTTATCGTGATTCGAAGTGTGAAAAAGGACATGTATTACTCAAGTAATGATAAAAAATTATGTGTTCAAGTATTAACGTCCCACATTGGCTAAAATTTTTAGACAATAGTTCAGAGTCATATTATAAATAAGACCAAAATAATCTAAATCTGAATAAACATGAAGTTAACTTAACAAATCTATATTAAAAAGTTTGTCTCCGGTTTAATTCGGTCTTTAGTCGAACCATTAAACTATCCCGATATATAAATTTAAATTTCTAAAAAAAATAAAACATCACGGGACGGGGTTATATGACGGGACGGTTAAAAAATGATTGACTCGATGCTCCAACATGGGTAAATCATCATTTCATTATTTTGTTAACACCATCAATAGAATACTAAACATATCAAATTATGTTGATTAAACTGTGATTATATATAAAAAAAACAAAATTATTTTGTGGTATACCGCGGATTAAATAGTATATATATAATAAGGGTTTCATTTTCTCTTTATTGAGTCATTTGGCATTTATAAATTAAAGGGTTTATAAATAAAATAATATTTCTAACATAAATCCACGTAATAATTGAAAGAAATTAACCACCATGGGAAGATATTTAAATTTTATTAATTCAGGAATCGTATCATGTCTACTGTCAAAGAACACAGTTTATCTACACAATTAACAACCACATTAAATTGATGCATTTTTGTATTATATTTTTGAACAAATTGTAATGAACTTCTTACATAAAATTTTCACGTTTGGGTTGGAAAAAAGATTTTGTCTCACAGTTTGGCAAAGTGAGATTTCATTCTCATGTTTTGACAGTTACAACATTTTTTGAAGAAAATGCCCCTAACAAATTAAACCAAACCGCACAGTTACTGACCGGTTTAGTTTCTTTTGATTTTTGTTGCGGTTTAAAAAAAAAAAAAAAAAAAAAAAACTGTCGAAGAAAACGAAGAAGAAGAAGGAGAGAGAGACAGAGAGATTCGAGAGAAGTTGAAATCAGTTCGAAATTCATTCATCCATCTTCGTTTTTCGACATCACCGTTCGAATTGTTGGATACTTGATTTGAGGCATCGCATTGAACTCCAAAAACCGGCGAATAGAAAGTTGAAGTTTTTCTGGCGAAGACGACCTGAGAAACCTCCGGCGAGATAGAAACCTTCGAGATGGCTGGGAATAAACAAAACGACGAAGTACCGAGGAAGCAGCATACGCGGGAAGGCCCCGAGAAGGAGAAGCGGGTACTCAGAGTATCCCCGAGGAGGAAACTCTCTCCGACAAAGCCGCCGGAGGAATTGAGTAAGTTCTGATATTATTTTGTTTGTAGTTTCTTTGGGTGTATCGGAATCTTAAAGCTTGTTTGATTAAAGGGATAGAAGTTGCCGGATTTTGCTAAATCTGTAGTTTGAAAATTTGAAGATGAATTGGAAATCTCTTTTTCCGCCAAAATTCAGATGTTGAGTATATAATGTTGATAATTACTGTGTACGTACACGAATTTGTATTGTTTACATCCTTACTTAATTGTATATTACTTGTAATTGCAGGCAGTACAAGCGTGGCTCCGACTGAAGATCTTATAGTTGAAGAGTTACCACCTAGACTCTTTGCCCTAGACCGGTACCCTGTGAAGACGAAGATGAACGCGTACTCCAAACCGGAGTACCTTTCTGACATAGCGTAAGTTCTTAAGGGAAAAGAGGAGATGAAGTTTCTTCTCGAGTCTCCATTTGGGGACCTTTTTAGGATACGTGCTAACAAGTCTTCCTTCTCAGGTAAGCTTGTTCTTGGACTAATATGTCGTCAGTTAGTGACGAGTAAAGTGAATGAGATGTGGATGGTCTTCGGCGGTCATCCAATAAAATTCGGATTAAGAGAATTTAGTCTGGTAACTGGTCTAGAATGTGGGACATATCCCAACAAGAAAGACGTGACGGATGTGCTAAAGGTTAAAGCTGGTAGTCAAAGTGTCTGGAAAACTCTGTTTGAGGAGAAGTTTGGGGAGAAGCCGAATCCAACAGTGCATGATTTGGTGGTCTGGCTGAAGGAGGAGGAAACCATGGATGGGTGGAAGCAGCTGGCCTTATCTCTTATAATCTTGGTAGATGGTGTGATAGGGTGCCATAATAACCCCATAAGGCCTTCTGAGTTCACTGTTGAGATGACGAAGGACGTGCAATTCTTCTGCAAATACCCTTGGGGAAGGGTGTCTTTTACCCGTACTTTGGAGAGGATAGCAAAATTCCAAACCCCTTCAGATGCTCAAAAACTGATAAGGTGTGTAAAGGATGGGTCTTATGCACTACATGGATTCCCATTAGCACTCCAGCTGTTTGCGTTCGAAACAATCCCATCCCTTGCTAAGCTAGTACCTGATGATGAAGCTAACAAGACATTTACTCAGAGGTCTATCCATCATCTTGCCTCACTGCGGGCAATCAGGACATCCAGCATCTTGGAGTGTGAGGCTGCTGAAGAGGTATGTACAATTGTTTATGTACGTACATTATTTAAAAAGTAAGTGTACATTCTCTAAGTGGTCAACAAACTTATTGGTGTAGGTTGAGGTAACCTATCTTGTGAAACCAGAGGACAATATTTGTCCTTCATCCCTGTCATGGGATGATGAAGTTGAGGATCCAAGAGTTGCTTACATTGAGCGACTGTTGTTAGCTGGTCATGAGTGGAAGGAGGAAGAATGGGTTGGAGGTAATGCTGCATTTCCAAAGCAGGAGCGCCCACCACAACTTGGAGAGATACGTGAGTGTAAATGTTGTTTTATACTTTCTGATTATTGTCCCTTGAAGACCAATCAATGATTAAACTGGTCTATCGTAGGTGTGAAGAAGAGGAAAAGAAATGTACCAGCCCCGAATGCACCTTCTTTGAAAAAACAGAAATATGTTGTGGAAGAAGAAAATGAGGACACTGCTGAGGATTGTTCTGAAGATCCCCAGTTTGAGAAGTTTGTAGTTGAACTTAGGAGGTGTTTCAAGAGGCAGGAAGCACAAAATAAACAAATGCAAGAAGACTTGAAGAAATTTGTCCGTAAGGAGATTCGTGCTGCCTTAGATCCAAAGGTCAAAAAGACAGAACCAACCAAAACTTCCCATGCTTCACAGGGCCCAAATAAATCGGTGGTTAAGGCACCGATGAGTGTGACGAAGGCATCTAAAAAGATGTCTACAAAGAAAGTCTTCAAGTCTGGAACAAGAAAGTCTTCAAGGCTGAAGAATATAATGACGTCAGTTGCGGAGATTACTCAGCTTTCTGATGGTAACTCTTCCTCTGAGGAAGATGACCAGGTATGGCATGTACGTACATTTATATATAGTATTTTAAATGTACGTACATGAAGATTAATAACTGTAACTTGTCTGCTATGGTACAGGATGAAGCCAACAATGAAGGTGGTTTTTCTGTAAATGATGGAGGAGATTTTTCGAACAGAGACGAAGGTATGGTTGACACTGGAGTAGCTAACATTTCAGTTGGTGGACCTACACCTTCCCATCAGGTATGTCGTGTACAAATTTTTTTTCAATTATTTCCAGTTGTGTACGTACACATAGGCTTCAGAAGTGTATGGTATACTATGTTTCAGGATGAAGGAGCACGTGATGGTGGTGAGTCTGTCCTTGTTGGTACACAGTCAGGGACCGAGGAAAAAGCTAGTGCTGACACAGAGATGGAAGAAATTCCATCTTTTGTACCTTCAACCTCTGTACAGGTATGTCTTGTGCTAATAGTCACATACTGTTTTCCATAAGTGTACGCGTATCAATTATTTTCAGTTCTCCACGTACATATAGCTTAAGAAGTGTATGGTATACTATGTTTTAGGATAAAGAACCAATTGATGGTGGTGAGCCTGTCGTAGTTGGTACACAGCGAGGGACAGATGAAAAACCAACTGCTGACACAGAGATGGTAGAAAATCCATCAGGTTTACCTGCAACATCTGGACAGGTATATGGTTTGCTAATAGTCAAATGTAGTTTTCCATATGTGTACTCACATAAAGCTTAAGACGTGTATGGTATATTTGTTTCAGGGAGAAGAACATGGTGCCGGTCTTGAGAGTGAAGCAAATGTTGGGGAGCAACCAGAAATTTCTGAGGATAATGATAGAGATACATCTTATCAGGCTGAACACACCGAGGAACCCGGTGTAAGTGTACGTACATTTGTCTTTCTTATTTCCCGTGTATGTATAAGTAATGATTGTTTCAGACATCACAAAATAGAGGATATAGCTGATGAAGTTGATAACTACTGCCACAGGTTGATGCGGGAGATGTACCCAATGTAGTTGCAGAGAGTAAAGTGGATGACTCAGTACTTGAGGGCACCCTAGGGGATCCCCCTTCACCATTTGCAGTAGTTAAGAATGTAAGCTAACTATATTTTTAAATAAAATAGTGTAGGCTTGTTTAAATTTATAATCTTCTATTATGCAGGTGTTACAGGAGTTGGCAACGATAGCCTCCATGGATGTGGATGCAGCTAATGTAAAAGAGGTAAAAATCTCGTGTTTGGTTTAAAATTATACACAGTTATTAACATACGTACATAGGATTGTATGCGTACATTTAAATAATTCTGCACGTTAATTTGAAAAGGGAGTGTTGCAGCAGCAGGGGATTGTCGACGGGGTGGAAGAACAAGAGGATTCAAACCCAGGGTTAGATGAAGCAGACACGACAGTTGGTACACTGGAAAATATTGTGAGTATCTTCCCAGTAAATATTATCATTACATTTTGAAATTGTTTAATCATGCTGTTTACAATAATACTTCTTTACAGGATGAACCAAACAACGATGCTGCAGTCGAAGCAATAGCAGTTAAAATTCCTACGCCGGTTGTACCCAAAAAAGTGAAGAAGCAAATAATTGTTGAGATGGATGAAGCCCTTCCGGAAGGTTTTAAGGAAACAACAGTCCTCGTGGAGGATGTTCCTGGACGAGCTGAAGATTCAGAGGTGGTTATAGCGGCTGGAAATGTCCCTTACAACCCCTTGGAGAAGGTTGATGCTTCCAAATTAGAGCTCTTAACCAATGTCCTCCGCGGTCCGAATGTGTAAGTATCGTGCATTATCAAAATTATCCCTTAATTGATACATTGGTTTTCTATAACAACCAGTCATACTATAATATTGGATATACAGGAAGCACACTCTTTTCGGGTATCGCAAAGTGGACAACGAGTTTTTCTCCATGCTTATAGCACAAGGACAGTGGGTGGATAATATGGTAAGTTGAAATAGTACATTTGTGTACATTTTTTTAAATATGCCTGAATTGTACGTACACTGACTGCCTATGCTATTATCATTCAGGTCTTGGAAATGCTCGCAATCTTGATGTGGCACAAGAACGGTCAACAAATGATAGCAAACCGATGCGTTGTTTTGGACTCCTTCCTGCTTTATGAGCTTACTAAGCGTGCTGTCAGCTTCAGGAATTGTATAAATAAGCTTGGGTTCAAATGGGGCGACCGGCTATACGACATGGCCAATGGAATACACATACACCATGAACCTAGTCTTAGGTGGTTCAAGGATGTCGACGTGGTATATGCTCTGATGAACTGGAAAGGTGATCATTGGGTTGGGTTGGCAATCCACCTCAGAGCCCGGAATATAGTTGTCTATGACGCTCTCATAGAACACACGCGGGAGTCTGTTGCATGGTCAAAGATGCAGCCTGTCTGCGAGATGATGCCGTACCTAGTGAGAGCGATGTGCGCGGATGTATTGCCTGCGAAGTACTCAGTTGAACCTTTTGCCTATGAGAGAAATGTTATGGTCGCTCAAAACCCAAGTACAGGAGATTGCGGGCCTTACGCAATGAAGTTCTTGGAGTTGCTGGCGTTTGGTAACCCAATGTCAGACTTGGTGAATATTCAAGAAGCAGATATGGCCACCTACCGTCAGGTGTACGCAACAGAAATCTACGAGCACGGCAAGCGCGAGTGTGGTAATCGGCGTTTATTGTAATCATCCCTGGATGTTGAATTATTTTTATTTCCTAGTACTTATTTCCTTATTTCAACAACCTAATTAGAACAACGTAATTAATTATGGAGATCCTCAAAATATTTATGTAATCGTTATAACTATCTTCTCTAAACAATCTGCACATCGTACACTTATTCAAAAACCAACATGTGTACGTACATCTTATATAACGTACGTCTTTTACACAAAGTCGATTTTTCTCATAATAAGATATCTATTTCTTTACTTACATTGATTTGACAACCCTCCCCCACTGCATCATCACTTACGTAAGATTGCATTAACTACAACCATAACTTAACCAACTAACTTCATTGTTCTTTATTTAAGAGTAGGAATTGCATTGTTTTGAAACACCAAATTCCAAGAAATGTCTACACCAAATCTACCAGAAGATTTGCTAGCCAAGATAGCCAAAAAAATGGCTGAAAAATGTTGGTGGTACCTCGGACCTCTGTTAAGATCAGGGCGTGGTGGAAGAAACATTGTCTACAGGCCGGATGTCTTGAAAGATGCTAATATTTATAGAATGTGCAGTGATCCCGATGACTTCCATGCGGCAGGCCATGATCCGAATGACATCAACGCTGAAGGTCGATATAGACCCTTTTTCAAAAGGTGTCTAGAGGCTGGTAACCCGATTGCTATTTACCATGAAGGACTGCGTCTAGTTACCCATGAGTCTGACATTAAGGGCGCCATTGTACTTTTACAGCGGAATGTACCAAGGCATGCCGATGCAACCCTGGCCTGCGCTATTCTGTGCATATGCGACGGGAATGCTCACATGGGTGGTGTGTACCTACGCCTGTTCGCAAACAACCATTACGCTTTGGAATCAGAAGAAACACGTGACATATGTGAGGAACTCCTAGAAGAAATAAAAAATTATGGAATTAGGTTAAACAACACATACGGCGCAACCTTTTCGTACCCTGAGGAACGTGGTATTCAAACGCCTCCTTGCGCGATGCTGTGTTACATCAGATTTGGACCCTTCAAGAATGTGTGCAACGTATGTTACCTCTGGTGGTGTGCGAGAAGAATTAGTCAAATTCTCTAGGGATTTCTTACGTAATATTATCTGAATTTCTAAGTTTTTATGTTATAATATGTGGCCTTTGCAATTGTACTTTGCTTATCAGTAATGAATATCTTTTTATCTACATCCTTGCTTGTTTCTCATATACTACTCAATCTTATGAATGGTTACAAATAATTGTAATATTTTATATTAAATTGAGAAACAAGTTTCTTAATGTTAGATAATGGTGCCTTGTCTACACTGGCTTACGAATTATCAGTAAATACATATTGACCTGATTTAGCCATTGATAATGACCTCTATCTTTTCAAAAAAAAAAAAAAGAAACGCAAATTAATGTACATATATACGTACACATCCCTGTAATTAATGTACACTGTCTTTTGTCAGATAAAACGAAATTGCAAAAGAAAGAGATTTGGTTTTTAATGCGTTTCCCCCAGATTTAGCCATATACATGAACTCAATATTTTCCCCTAATTCGGCGACAGACATTAACTCAAACTTTTAGTCAGAGAACGTAATAAGGGTAGACATACGTACACGGGTATACGTTACTGTGTACACGATTTTAGTTGGTTTGAAACTAGAAATATGAGAAGCGACTTTTGAGATGGTAGTAAATGATGATGCAATGCTGATTGATTTGACCTGTAATAACCCATATCTACAAGTTTTGGAGTGGTTATTTAATGCATACTGTCAAGCTCTATTCATAGAATGACCTCTATCTTTTCGCACTAAATCTCCTTACTTTACGTACACGGTTTGCAATTAATGTACACTTGCATTTGTCAGATAAGAGGAACTTTAAAATAATGACACTTTATTAATGCGTTCCCCCCCCAAATGTAGCCATATACATGAACTCAATATTTAGGCCCTATATAAACGATATCACACACACTAATTTATTTGCTCACATTATTCTAAAACCTCCTTCTTTTATCAACTACAAGATTATTTCTAAACCTCCTTTGTTAACAACATGGCTTTCCCCGCAACCCCTCCAACCGAGATGTACCTTGCAATACAATTACCAAACCCGATTTCCGTCCTCATCAACTACCTGCCCGTATCCCAGACTCCCATCGAGACCCTCCGCCACTTGGTCGAAGCAAGTGACGTAAACGCAATAGTGATGGACGACTTCATCACATGGCCTCACTTCGTGCAGCCGGAGTCTCCCTTTAGGGCCTACTTCAGCCTCTTGCTGGAAAGGGGTGCGATCCCGGCTATATACCTCGAAGGTGTCCGCCATGCAAGCAGCTTCCTAACGGTGGCCCACGGCATTACACTACTCAACTCCGTCGCTCCATCTAACCCTCTCGCCTGCTTCGCGACCGGCTTATTCCTAACTTGTACTGGCAACCATGTCGACTTTCTTCCAGTCAGCGATATGTTCTGGGCGATGACACCCACATTAACGGCAGCTCACGCAGTGGGGGAGATGGTGATGTATCACATAAGCCAGCTTCACACCGAAGGTCCTCGGCTCTGGCAACGTTCATGGATGTATGTGCACACACCGGCATGTGTTGGCCTTTGCACGTACAGTTCCGGCTGCAGAGGGTGTTTCTTTTACTGGTACGCGAGGGAGATGTGTGTCTTCTATTAGATATGACTTTGATAATGACGGATGAGGCATACAATTTTCCGGCTCATGTGTATGCTTCGGGCTCTACTTTTTAGTTTATTGCTTCCGCATCTAATATATAGTTTGTCTTTCTTGAATGTATGTCCTTCTTCGGGCACTTAATTATGAATGAATGAAGTTTTTGTTGTTTGAGGACAACAATTATGATATATGTATGTTTTCGTGTACGAACACGGGTTTCGTACAATTTGCTGATTGAAGAACCAAAAAGCGAGTAAAACGTACATGGCAAATTAATTGTAATTGTAGACACTGTACGTATAAAATGTACGTACAATTACCCAATAGTTTATTATACAAATTCAAGTAATTAGAAAACGACAACAAGTTTATGTAGTTTTACAATACTTAATATAAATCTGGTCTTTAATAATAAGAAGACTGGGGAAAACAAATCCCCCTATCTAAAAAACGACCTGCTTGATCTCTTCCTCTTCCGGTGTGTCCGGATCGGCAAAGACCTTTGACACAGGACCATGACTCACAACCTTAGGATTAGCTCTGTCGGTTAAACGCCAGAAGACGAGTGCGACAACAACATTGCGCTGACCTAGACTCCGAAAGAAGGTTTGGAATTCCAACGCCTGTTCATTGTGTGCTTCGCATTCCAAAACTTCGTTGCTACATTAGATTAAAAGAAGAATCAAGTCAGCGTTTAGATTAAAAAGTGTAAGTGAATCAAATGTGAAAAGAACATTTACTATCTATCTTTGATCTTGAAAGGAAGCTTGAGACCGTAGAAGTCTCCGGTCAAGTGGCCAACCTCCAACAACGCTCCAATGACATCTACATCAAGGGCCAAAAAATAGAAACAAACTTCTAATTTCAAAAATGTGTAAATAAAACGTAACTTAAAAAACATCTCACCGACTAAAACTTTCTTATCAACTGTTTTCTCCAAAATGTAGTCGAATTGAGTGAAATCGTAAAACGATATTGGGTCCCTTCGTAAGGCGTTAGTAACAACGGTCCGATCCATAAACCATATGCCGTAGTCATGAGATGTTGCTCTCACTGGGTCAGCGACGTTACGGACCAAGAAAGTGGTCACAATTTTCCACTCATTTTCTTTGATTCGGTCTATGTAAAAAGGAGCAAGGCGACGATCAATGGTGGCCTCGATACGGGAACGGGATCCCTACAGAATATGATATATAACAGATTTATATAGAATTGAACCTAACGTATGATAAAAAAACATAAACACGGCACAGGGAAACTACCGAATTATCTGCCAAGATAAGGCCGAGTTCGAAGATGTTGGGCGCAACAAACTTCTTAAACACTCTCACGACAAATACACAAATTGTCCACCCAGTGATCTGAGGACACAATTCAGAGATGGTGTGATACCCGTCCATCACACGGTTAGCAAGAACAATCGAAAGACTTTGTGTTTGATTGATGTAACTGCCGAATGTGAAAGGGTTTTCGTTTGAAGGAACGTGGATAAAATTGAGGAGGAGATGTGGCTTAAATAAGGAAATTCCGTAACGGACGCGGTGGGTAGTGCGAAAGTGTTCCAACGGTTGAGATACAAATGTTTGTAACCGTTTGTAACCGTTTATTGCATGAAGATTATACGTACACAGACACAACAAACACGTACACTAACAAAAACGTACACTCAGAAAACGTACATAGTTATACGATGGCAAACATTAAACGTACGTACACCGTCACAACACTTTGGTACACACTGTCCACACATAAACGTACACTGTCTTCGCGGAGACATAAAGCTTATGAGGAGAACTAAATAGGATTTTTGTAAGTCTTCTTGTTATGACCTGCTTGTCTACATCGTGTGCACTGATTCGGAATAAGTCTTTTCTGTCTCTTTTTCTGAAATGACAACAACAATAAGTTAATAATCTACGTATCTTATATTCAAAACATAATGTTTGAAAAATCTGTACACGTTTGAATGATACCACTTACCCGGTTTTCACCTCTAGATGGAATCCTTTTGGTTGTTGGTCTTCCTGGTGGTCGTCTACAGTATGGAGGAATTAGTATCAAATCCGATATATGTTGTGGGATGACAACATCCTTCGGATCCGCGATAGGTAGAATCGGTTCTTGAAAAGAATCGGAAAACGTTTGAAGTCCATACCACCATCCTACAACAACCTTCGGATCTATTCCAAACTCGATTGCAGCTGCTAGACCGTGTTCACATGGGATTCTCAACTTTGTGTACCTAAGACACGTACACGTACACTCGTCCAGAACGACATGAAAATGCTCACCTGACTTGCTTGTAACTTGATAACTCCACGGTCCAGACATCTTAACCGCAAATTTCCCTGACGCAGGCAAATCTTGGAGAAAACGCTCATCAACCTCAGGCGTCACTAAAGACTTACACCTAGCCACTTTTTGCCTCCTCGCTGCGAACCATCGCATTAGGACCTCTCGAATGAACTCTATCATGTACACAA